GCAGTACCACTGGTGCGACATGGTTCTTAGAATTGGAAGGCTGCTCCTCATTTTCATCACGACGTCTCTTCAGGGATATCCCACCAAGGGCGCGGTACAATTGAGCTCTTGTTGTGATGGTATATGAATTTAGTTCTCTGCGTATCAGTGAGTTTCTTTGGCTGAGGACTGATATGACGAAGCCAGTGATAAACCTCTTCGTTCATCTCCACTTTTGGTATGCGCTCAATGAGACTCCACTAACGCATAGCTGCTTCCGAAGCCGTCTCTTGCTGTGTAATTTCGAATCTCATTACACTGTCGAAATAGTCTTGCATAAGCATGGGTTTTCCAAATCGTGCCAGTAGCAGTTCTTTAATACGAGGCCATTCTCTCTGATTTTTTTAATATGGTTAGCTATTTGGTTTGGTTAGACAGGATGCGGCGCGTCCTTTCAATGCACTGACTAAGGCAAGTAACAACTCAGTTCCAGTGAGATTGAGCCTTGTCAAAATCGATTCCATACCGGAGAGTAGATCGTGGGTACTTACACCACGATCTTTATTTCCTTGATGTGATGCTGTCTCCTGTTCGTTTGACCACTTCTGATGAAGTCTTTCGACCATTATCAGAATTATGAGACATGTTCGGGTAGGCGTAGATTATCCGGTAGGAAGACAATATTTCAATAAAATAACTATTGCTATATCACTTCACTTATAATTCTTAATATCACAATCATTACTTTCACAAATTAATTAAGGATTACTAAGATTAGCACGGATTAGAACTTAACGTCCACCGACCACGTGGTTGCGTGCGCGCTCTCTGACGGTATGACACTAAGTGTCCTTTATTACAAGATGGCCGCCTCACCAGTGCTCGGTGTTCGCTATGGCCTTTGACAAATGACATAAAGTGACATCAGACGTATTGAGCCTCTCAACACTTTAGGCTGCGCCGACAGGTTAAATTTTCGAGTCATTACCTAGCCCATATTTATTTATACATACCTATCTTGTAAAATGAGAATAGGACCGTTCCTGTAGTGACAAGTCTAATGATAGTCCAAAATAAAGTATACTTATGTATGTCTATGTTACGCAAAAATTTAATTAATTGACAAGATGAAGTTGATCAAACAACCCATATCACTAAACGTTAAAAATATAAATATTGGTGAATCTCCTCAAAAGATTAGACATAGCGCTTTGTTGCTAAATACGATCCGTTGTATAATTTGTGGTCCCTCAAATTGTGGTAAAACAAACGTTGTGATCAGTTTGTTATTGCATGAAAATGGGCTCAAATTTCAAAACCTATATCTTTACTCGAAGACAAATTTTCAGCCAAAATACAGTTTTTTGCGAGAAGTCTTAAGTAGAGTTCCTCAGATTATGTTTTATGAGTTCAGTGATGATAAAGATGTTATAGCACCGAGTGAAGCTTTAACAAATTCTATATTTATTTTTGATGACGTTGCTTGCGAAAATCAAATTAACATTCGTAATTATTTCTCCATGGGTAGACATAAGAAGATAGATTGCTTTTATTTATCTCAAACCTACTCAAAAATTCCGAAACAGCTGCTACGTGATAATGCTAATTTTCTAATAATATTTAAACAAGATGATATAAACTTAAAGCATATTTTTGATTAGAATCGGGGATAAAACTTATAATTTAACGCCCGGGTTAAAAGAACTTTTATGTCGAAGAAAACCGGATTTAAAATCAATATCAAATAAAAATAAACTTGTCTACACAGATATGTTACAACATAATAATGCCCATAAGAGAGATTTTAACAGGTCAGTTAAGAGGTGACAAAGGAATTAAGTATTGTGACATTATTTTTCCGAGACTTCAAACGACAAAATTCTCAAACTTGGGGGTAGTCTACCAAAACTCAAAAAATACAAAACTTCCACTGATTTAGTATATTGGGACGATCCCAATGAATTGGTTGAGAGATTAAAATTATTAGTAGCTTCAAGAGATGCTGGCAATTCAAACCATGATAATGAAATTTTATCCATAATCGAGGAATTGAAAGAAGCTAATATAATTAAGGAATAAATGCTATGTATTATAAGCTCTATTAAGCTTCGATTCAGTATCATATAGTTAATCATACTGAACATTGGCAAACATAGAAAAATTATAAATATGAGCAAAGTTGATGTGGTAAATGAAATTCATAAAAATGCTATGGTGAACTTTCAACGAAGAAATGTTATTATGAAAGATATAGGTGATCTATGGCAAGATTTAATTGATATGCAATCAGTTTCTAAAGAAAATAAAAACTTTACATTTATTGTTGCCATTATTGATACGCATGGGCGTTTCCTTTGAAAAGCAAAAATAAAGACATTGTATGTAACACTTTTAAGATTTTGTTGGATAAAGAGCGTGTCACTAAAAATATACAAACTGATAATGGGACAGAATTTTATAATAATAAATTTAAAAATCTTATGAAACCATATCATATTAATCATTATTTAACATTCTCCACTAAAAAGGCTTCAATAGTCGAAAGATTTATTAGAACATTGAAATCTAAATTGTATAAAGAATTTAGTTTACAAGGTAATTATAATTAGATAAATAACACCCTCTGCAATGTTATTTATAAATACAATCACACATACCATCGTACTATTGATGAATTTGTAGCAATTTTTTTGCAAAATATATGTAAAATTATTGAAAAATATGCCAATTTTAGTCTAATCTGGAATTCTATATACGCACAGTACCATTGTTTTATAGTCCGTTAATTCTATCGCACAACCTTCAAACACGTTAGCAACATTCACTGCTTTTACTAATTCTACCTCTGAATATCTGATATGTTTATGAACAAGTATACAAGAACCACCATTCCGTTTTTCTCTAGTGAAAGATGTAGCCAAAGTATAATTAGGGATATTTAAAAAATCGATATCGCTTAACTTCACGTTGTGTTCCGTGAAACATAGGATGTGTAAATATAGCCCTTTGCTTGAAAAAGTATCTAGACATTCCGTCAATATGTGAGTTTTAGTGAGCAATCCATTTATATTTTGATGCAGAAGGCACAGTTTATTATTGACGAAAAAAGTCTTTATTGGAGCCGTCTGTCACTGACAAACAAACAGAACCAATTGACCGACGCAAATTATTTGTTGGTGAGGTTTCGTTTCCTTCTTCAGTGTCAAGATACAAATCGTGAGAGGTAGTACTGTTATTATCAGAGATAAGTAGTTTCAAATTGTTAATTCTACCACTGTGTTTGAGAAACATTGAGTGATCATATAATAGGCAAGAATTCGAGTCAAATAATGTCGCATAATTGTAATTGTATATCGTAATAAATAATATTATTAAACATTTTTATTCTAAAGTTATACATTGTGCAATAATAATTATATTTAAAGGTAGGTAAACATAGTATTATATTAGTGTGTTTTATGTTTCACAAAGCTTGGCGTATATTCACTACTAGCTCCGAGTAATTATTAGTTTGTTTAAAATCATCCTCACCTATGAATATTAGACAATGATCTTTCTTTGTATAATCATTTAACTTACAGTGAATATTACTTAGTAGTTGTTTTATACCACAGTGTGGAGAAAGGTAGCGACATATTTGATGGTTAGGAAAGGTATTTTCAGCTCTTGTCAATATTTTGTTAGTGGTGTTAGTGCTTAAGATACATAACTTGCTTTGTGTTTCATTTTTGTAAGCCATTCTCATCGTAGACTGTCGTTGAGCCAATTTTTTGTCTTGATTTTTCGTATTAACCAGAGGTATTCTAGGTATCGAGGTTTCGAGCGCTGAGTTATCCCTGAGTTTATAGCACTGTGTACTCGTATGAGCCTTTGATTTCTTGCAAGGTGTTGACAGTCTTGAATTTGTCTTTTTGATCGGAGTACTACTACGTACTACTAGTAATCTCAGTTGACAGAATTTTTGTAGCTTTTTAAGTAAAGAATGTTTTTTATTTATTTCCTCTAGGGATATATAGATAGATTATTTATCTCTTTGTGAGCTGCTTGTAATTGTGATTGAAGTTCACTAATTTGACGTTTAAGATCGTCAATTTCATCATCTTCGTCGACCGATATGTTAGGTGCACTACTTGTTGCGCCCTCTATTGTTGTGTTCCGAGAACTGCATTCAATATAGCTTTCTGTCCCAGATATTGATCGTCGTCGTCGTCGTAAAGTTATGTTCTCAAAGAAATTCATAGCCGACAATTTCAAATGAAGACTTAGAAAAAAATCTATACGAGGTATTTGTTGGATCCGAACTCGATACTGCACGCGCAATCTCGTAGTACAGCGGACGCTTTATCAGCTAGCCACATAAACATTAAATTGTATGATTGAAATTGATAACCACTTGCTAATTGGTGGTTTACATAAATATTAACTGTTTTGTTAGGTATTAGGCAAATCTAAAGTTCAATATTTTGTTACAGTAACGTAGGTATTTGGTTTTTTAGATTTGAAGACAAATTATAGCAAAACATTATTCACACAACATAGATTCACTTGTGCACACATTCATTTAGTTTTTAAAATGTAAACTTTTAAGTTTAATGATATTTGTTTACGCATTTATTCATTGGTTTAGGCAAATTGTTATTATTTTGTACTGTTTTATGACACTACAAAGTTTTTGATATGACATGATATGTACACATTTTAATTTTCTTATTTATATTGTAGACTTATATAGATGTTTGGATACCACTTGTTCCCTATGTTTTCGTATTTTGTTTAACACTTTCACAAGTATTTACGCAGTTTAACTATTAATTCAATTCAATTAAATAAATACAGAGCTCTTCAACACGTACTGCACGCGCAATCTCGTAGTACAGCGGACGCTTTATCAGCTAGCCACATAAACATTAAATTGTATGATTGAAATTGATAACCACTTGCTAATTGGTGGTTTACATAAATATTAACTGTTTTGTTAGGTATTAGGCAAATCTAAAGTTCAATATTTTGTTACAGTAACGTAGGTATTTGGTTTTTTAGATTTGAAGACAAATTATAGCAAAACATTATTCACACAACATATATTCACTTGTGCACACATTCATTTAGTTTTTAAAATGTAAACTTTTAAGTTTAATGATATTTGTTTACGCATTTATTCATTGGTTTAGGCAAATTGTTATTATTTTGTACTGTTTTATGACACTACAAAGTTTTTGATATGACATGATATGTACACATTTTAATTTTCTTATTTATATTGTAGACTTATATAGATGTTTGGATACCACTTGTTCCCTATGTTTTCGTATTTTGTTTAACACTTTCACAAGTATTTACGCAGTTTAACTATTAATTCAATTCAATTAAATAAATACAGAGCTCTTCAACATGTCGCTACATAGGTGACAGCTTTTCTTTCTTACTTTCTTTGTTGATTAGTTTTAATGTTGTTGATTAGAACTCTAAACGAAGGGACTCGTTTATGTGACGGATGGCCGACTGTAACAGTCATTAATTTTATCGCTTACCATAGTTATACTCATCACTAATTAATAATATTATTCACTTTAAACACTAATTTAATCCATTGGTAATATTCTTAAAAACCCAAGTTATTCATAATCATAATTTTAAGTCGACTCATGAATCATTTGTTTTCCGAATGTTGCAACACTGTCTCAGTCCGCCATTTGAATTGTGAAACTGATGTGTATGTGTGCGTGCCTGCAAATAAGTTTTGCTGTTAACTTGTGTCATGAGTAATAAACGAGCATCCAATCGCAACGGTAGTTTCACTAGTAGTATAGTAGCCGACACAGCACTGGCGACGAGGATGGGATTTAAAAAAATAAAAAGTTACTTAGTTTCGTTAAAATGTCTAATATTATCGGTAATATTACAAGTTTTGGTCATAACAATCAAGAATGGCCTATATTTAAAGGTCGGCTATTACAGTATATAAAATTAAATAGTGTGAAAACCGAAAATAGGAGCGCTTTGTTGTTGACTCATTTTTCGGACGACAGCTACCGCCTTGCACGGAACTTACTTCATCCTGAAGTACTCGAAGAAGTCAAGTTCGAGGAATTAATTGAAAAATTAGACAAGCATTTCACACCAAAACGTTGCACTTTTGCTGATAGACAGAAGTTTTATGAGGCCAGGAGATCTGATGGCGAGAGCGTTGAGGAATGGGCGGCTCGCGTAAGAGGTTTAGCCGTTCATTGTGAGTTTGGTACGGCATTGGATATGCTACTGCGTGACCGTTTTATACTCGGGCTCGCAGCGTGTCGGGAACGTGACCGATTATTCGAAGAGGATGCAACTAACATTCGCCAAGGCGTTGGAGGTAGCTCAACAGGCAGCGTATGCGCGTTTGGCTCGAACCGGGACCACGGCGGCAGCCGACACTGCAGAAATCACCGCCCAGGCCACGCAGATCAAAGACGAGCTCGTGTTCCAGATGAGTGGACAGCGCGCACGCCGCGAGGCTGCCACAGGCCCCCGTAGCTCAAATGGCAGTTCCGGGGACATTCGTCGGTGCACGGTATGCGGTCTCAGAAACCACGATATGGAGAAATGTCGTTATAAAAACTATCGGTGCCAAGTGTATGGTGTTAAAGGTCACTTAAAAAAAGTGTGTAGTGAAAAAAAGGTCGAATCTCGTTTAAATTGCTTAAATACGGAAAGGAATTCGCCGGGACAAAGTGACTGCGAGGAATGTGAAGTATTTAATCTAAGGTATGTTAGTAACTCACCAATAATTGTTAAGGTGTTAATTGATAATATACGGTTAGACATGGAGTTGGATTTTGGCTCCAGGGCTAGTGTTATATCTGAAATACTTTTTAAGAAACATTTTTACAACCGTTCTTTAAATAAATGCAGTTTAAAAATGTGCCTTTATAATGGCCATAAAATTTCACCTTTAGGATATTTCCTAGGTAAAATTACCTACCTAAATAATACTTATGATATAAAGATATTTGTATTGCCGAACGGAGGCCCTGCGTTACTAGGACGAGATTTTATGTCGATGTTTAAGATATATTTTACTTCGAATTTAAATAGTATTGAAACGGTTTCTATAGCCAAGCCCGATATTAAGGATGTACAGCAGCTTATGTCTAGGTACTCTGATTTGTTTACTGAGGAGTTAGGTAGGTTTAATAAATTCAAGGTCAAACTAATTTTAAAAGAAGATCCTCAACCAAATTTTTTTAAACCTCGTTCGGTACCCTTCGCCTTGAAGAAAAAGGTGGAGGATGAAGTCAATAGGTTAGTAGGCTTAGGAATATTACAACCGATTAATTCTTCCAAATACGGTACCCCCATCGTCCCGGTACTGAAAGAAAACGGAAAGGTCAGGATAGCCGGTGATTTTTCAATTACATTAAATAAAGATTTAGAGATTGAAAAATACCCAATGCCTAGAATAGAAGAGGTTTTTGCTAAGTTAGGAGGTGGGCAGTGTTACAGTAAAATAGACCTCAGTAATGCCTATAATCAATTTGAGCTGGAGGAGTCATCACAAGAACTCACGACGATTTGTACTAGCAAGGGACTATTCAAATATACCGACTATATATACGACTCGTTTATGGTTTGGCAAACGCGCCCGCCATTTTTCAAAGAGCGATGGAGTCATTGTTAATAGGTATAGAAGGTGTGAGCATATGGTTAGACGATGTTTGTGTGACGGGACCGTCTAAAGAGTTACATTTCCGTAGGTTAAATGAAGTATTAAGTAGGTTAAAGGACGCTGGCCTAAAATTACAAAGCGACAAATGTTGTTTTTTTCAGAATAATGTCACGTACTTAGGTTATATTATTGATAAGAATGGATTAAGAGCATGTCCAAAAAAAACGGAAGCTATCATAAACGCACCGCGGCCGACGACCGTCACAGAGGTTAAGCGGTTTTTAGGATTAATAAATTATTATCGTAATTTTATTCCGAACGCGTCTACAAAATTGCATCCGCTGCATGAGCTATTGCGTAAAGGGGCACAATGGCAATGGAGCGAGCGTCATGAAAAAGCATTTACCAGCGTAAAAATCGAACTGGCTTCAGAAAGAGTGCTTGCTCACTTCGATCCCGCCGCGCAGTTAGTACTAACGGTTGATGCGGGGCCGACCGGGCTGGGAGCAGTGCTGTCACAGCGCGATCGCGAGAACCCGCACCTCGAAAGACCGCTGGCGTTCGCCTCAAGGTCACTGTCTACAAGCGAACGTAACTACAGTCAAATACAAAAAGAGGCAACGGCCATTATTTTTGCTGTTAAATATTTTCACCAATATTTGTATGGACGTAACGAGCCGTTTATCCTTAAGACGGACCACCGTCCTTTACTTCTCTTTCTCTTTCTCTCTTTAGTCTAATGCTCTCGTATCACAGCCTCCGAGACCTATACGTAGTTGTAGACGTAAGATTAATTATAAGGAATAACTTGTAAACAGTTGGTATTAAGATATAAGGAAGTCATAGTTACTATTTGTCGTATACCACGCACCAAATTACATATGTTCTCTGGATTTACTTAGTAGGTTACTATTGCTTAAAATAACTTTATAAGAAGTTAATAAAGATTAAGTCTTAAATAGGCAATAAAAAAAAACTAGGTAATTATTGGTGCGTAGTGTACAAATTGGCTAATTGCCTATTATTGTTGTTTTTAATTATTTCAAGGTTTTTTTATGTAATTTGAATTAGTGTTAGAGGAGTGATGTGTATGTGTGCGTGCCTGCAAATAAGTTTTGCTGTTAACTTGTGTCATGAGTAATAAACGAGCATCCAATCGCAACGGTAGTTTCACTAGTAGTATAGTAGCCGACACAGCAGAAACCCGTCGGGTACAGTTGTGCAGCGAGAGTGTTTGAAAGTCAAATAAAATACTATTTCAAAGTTTGTGTTTACATCAAGAACCCCATCCTTCTGAGAGTTTCAATATGTTATACAATACAATAGTAATCAAATTAATTTCAATTTTTAGGTTTTTAATGTGCCTACCGTTCACATCAATGCATCGAATACACCTTCGCTTCATGTTGCTTCGTATTTTAGCACACAAGTTGTCATTTGCTGCTAAAGCTCTTAGTTTATTAAATGCACTTATTATCCTCAATCGATTGACGACCGCTGTGTGAGCTTGCGTTGTCGTGGTGCAGGATGATGCGTCGCTTTAAGTTAGATATTTGAAGTTCGGCAATGACTTGTGGTAAACAAATTGTGGTATACCACTCTACGTTAACCGTTCTACGATCTTCAAGTGCAATAATAGTCGCAAGATGGCCGGTTTTTCCAACGAACGTGGCCACCATCTTCTTTGAAGTGCTTCGAGAACGAACAACCTTAGTCGGCTTTGGCTCGTCTTGAAAGACCCAGATTGTAGATTGTTGTTTGAAATCAGGTTCGTAGGCATAGATCCAAGATTCGTCACCACTGATGATGTCGTAGACGTGATTTGACTCTCCACGGGTGAACCTTTGCAGAGTTTTCTTCCATCATCTGACGCGGGCCGCCTTGTGATCGTCGGAAAGCAGATGGGGTATCCAACGGCAAACTAACTTTCTCACACCAAGCGCTTCATGCAAGATCTTCTGAATGGTTGTCCCTGAGATGGCTAATAGAGCCTCTATCTCTCGATATATGACATGACGATCTTCGAGAATTAGTTGTCTCACAGCAATGATGTTATCTTCAGTGAAGGCGGATTTGTCACTAACACTAGTATGTCCACGCTGCAATTCTAAATACCAGTGTTCGACAGTCCGCAGACATAGGGCTTCATCACTGAACACAGATGTTAGCTCTTCAAAACACTGAAGCCGTGTCAGGCCTCTTCTAAAGTTGTAGAAAATTATTGCACGAACATTTTCCTTAGAAAGATTCATTTTCGTACGTAACCTGACAGATTCCAATCGACGCTGTGACTAAACAATAGCATTAATCCTAATACTTTCAACTGTTTTGAGATTCAAAATTTAAACACATTCGAATATAGAACAGTTCCAAATTCAAAACTGCCGGGAAATATGGAAGCGACAGAACTTAAAAGGCATGCCTAGTAAGTACGCTATGAAGCCTTTATGGCACCCTGTCTTGGCCGGAGCTCCATCCGTAGCAACTGATACAATATTTTCAAGGGAATCTCTTTCTCATCACAAAACTTTTCCAATGTATTGAATATGGTTTCGCCTTTTGTATCGGTCTCCAAATTCCTAGCAAACAATAGTTCTTCAAATATTTTATCATCTTTAATAAACCTCACGGAAGACAGCAACAATGCTTCATTAGTTGATAAAGTGGACTCATCGAGCTGAATTGAGAATTGACTAATCCTCAGATGATTGCACAATGATCCTTCAATGTTTTCAGCCGTTTCATCAATTCGTCTTTGCACAGAATTATTACTAAAAGGATTTTTTTGGATAATATCTGCAGCCGGTTTATGAAGCATAGTAGTTATTACTTCCTTTATTGCTGGCAAAATTAACTGTTCTGCGATGTAGTGTGGTTTGCCTTTTTGAGAAATTAACAAAGAGATATTGTACGAAGCTCGAAGTCCGTCGTCATCTTGCTTAGCAGCCGCCGAAAATAGTTTTGCTACACTTATACGGCTGAGTATTATGCTACATTCTTGTCTTTCTTATCTGGATGCATTTTATTCAAATGATCTTGCAGTCTTGAAGGCTTCATTACTTCATTCGAATATATTTTTAGACATAAAAGGCACAAAGGCGACGATGGGTTTGTGGGATTTTCAATGAATCCGAATTTAATATATTCCTCACAGTATTTACGTCCCTCCTTTTTAATTTTCGACATTGTTTTGTTTTGACAAATACGTAAGTAAGTGTTGAACTTAAGTACTAATTCTCTATTACACGTGAAACCGCAAATAAAAAAAAAATTACATTGTTTATATAGGATTGCATAGCACGCACCAACAGGAATAAGATAAATATGCATAAACTAGTTTATCTCATTCGACGCTCAATCGTACTCAACAAGTAAGGACTGACTTATGAATCAGCCGATTGATACAGGAATGCACAAATCGGGTTATTTAACAAAAACTTGTTAAAACATGATTGCCCGCGGTCTATTATCTACGAAAATTACCTATCTAGGAATACTAATAACTATTAAAATGCAAAAGTGTGTCTGTTGCATTTTTACTTGTTTGTTTGTGTCTACTTTCATTTCGAAATGGAGCGACCGATTGACATGATTTTTTTTTTAATTATTCAATAAAACAAGACAGATCTATGAACTATGCGGAGAGAAATATCGAACCGAGTTTGAGCAATCTCTTAATTAATATTAGTTGATGTTCACAAGGTGCAGTCGAGACTCAAGAGCTCAGTCGGTGTCTAAGAGTCCTCCAGGCTAGATGTTATTACAAATCACCCCCCAAGCCACTACACAACGACCCTATTTTGTTTTCTGGGTCTCTTACCGCCCCCTTTAGGCCTGCAGCGCCCACATGGGGGCGTTATCGCCCACTTTGGGAAAGGCTGCTTTAAACTATGGAGGCAGAATTGTGAAGAAAATATTGCTAATTACGAGGCAGGATTAAAGAAGCTAGCGCGGTATTGCAAATTTGACGGACACCTTAACACGTTCACTGCGGCTTGAGGTTGATTCAGCGTCATGGTAGACTTTACGCTGGTGCGGCGCGTAAAACTGTGTTTTCTCTCTAGTGCGGCGGCTGTTTACACTCAACCGTATGAGGTATGACAAAGACAAATATAGCTTTCTTTATGTCTGCGAAGCATTGACTCAATATTGTAAAAAAAATATTTGAGGTCGAAATACGACTATGGTAGCGTCACTAAGACGCTACCATAGTCGATACTGGAGCACGTGTCTTTGCGCAATCGTGTTAATTGTTTGTTTTTTATTTTTGTTAAATTCTTTTGTTTAATGTTTTTTTGTGTGTGTTCAGTTATATATTTATAGAGTGAGAGCCCGTGACACCCATACCTTAGTTATATTATAAAAGCTGAAAATTTTTCTATATATTTATTTATTCACACTTTCTGCAAAACATAATGCACAAGGCGGACTTAATGCCTAGTGGCATTTTCTGCCAGTGTGTATATATATGTCCCCTATACCGGTATAATTAAACCCAGAATATACAACCTGGGTCGCGGTGGCTTTGGCAGGTAACAAGTAGTAAAGGTGAGTAAAATTGTGTTTCAAATTTGTATTTTATTATTGTGTGTTTCATATTTGTGTGAAATTATCGATGGATATTTTTTACAACTTTCTTAAATCACAACTTGATTCCATAAAATTCACTTGCAAATATTCAAATTTTAGTTGAATACAAAATGTAATGTTATTTTGCAAAAGTTAATAGCGCAATGAATCGCATTATTATATTGTTGATATGATTTTTTTTCAAACATTATTACTTATTAATTTTCTTTTTTAATCCGTTATAAATCTACATAATTAATTTTCTTGATAAATTAGAGTATAGCTCGCGCTATTTCACTCGCACCAACGTATAGAGTAAGATCCCAGGGCCGCCAGACATTACTTATTTTTGAAGTAACGAATTTTACAGTATAGATACTCCTATATGTGTATAAGAGTATGTGCATACTCGCTAGCTTGGCTAGGCGGCCCGTTCACAGGTAGCAGGCAGAGAAGTTAAACAAAAACATAGCTTACTTTTCTTAAATTTGAAGTACTGATTTTTATATATGTAACACAGAATATTATTAAAAATACATGTTTCATGTTGACAGACTGTTTCTGTGAGCGGAAACTCCTCCCAGACGCTTTAAATATCATAAAAAAATAACTGAACTTTTCTTATCTTTGTAGTCTTCAACTTTATATATGATGCTTAGGGGACTATATTAATAATTTTTGTGGACAGTCAGACCAATCCAATGGGCCAAATATTCTCCCAGTCACATTAAAATTTTTCTTAAACCTCTACAAACAATTACTTTTTTGCCTAAATGTACATGTAATGCTATGACGAAAGTAGATATAAAAGTAATTAGACTGTAAGGGGAAGGGGTTGTCACCGTCCTAAGTGTCCGCCAATAGACGAGGCGGTTTCTAATATGATTGTAAGTTAAAATATATGAAAACTAAGTTTTATACTATCACAAATTTGAAACACAATTTTACTCACCTTTACTACCTGTTACCTGCCAAAGCCACCGCGACCCAGGTTGTATATTCTGGGTTTGCATAAGCATTGTTTGCATGTCCCCTATACAGGTATAAACCTGTATAGGGGACATGAATAGAAGAATTTTCAGCATTTGTAATATAACAAAAGTAAGAGCCCGTTCTTAATCCATTAGACAAATATGGAGAATAAAAGTTATAAAAAGTGCAGTAAAAAGTTAAAATACACTTTGGTAACTCAAAATCAGAAATTGAGAGTGGGGTGAAAATTCTCAGTAATGTAAAAGTATGTCCACCGATTGCTCTGCCTGTTTTGGAAAATGAAGCCAAAGATGATTCTAATGATTCTGATTATGAAATTTTTCCTAATCCAAAAAGAAAACGAATACAAAGAGAACTTCGGATATGCGTGAGTCCAATTACTAACAAAAAATTTGCTTTATTAGAGAACGCTCATGCCATCAATATTTTATCTCCGTCTCACTCATTACACAAAAAGGATAATAATATAGAAGAACGTGTACAATATAGTGCACACAACGACTTTGTACCTCTCAAAGACCTAAGTGTTACAGTGCCGTCTCCAGCTATACTCTTAACTCCAACTCAAAAACGTAATATTAACGTTTCTTCTCAAATATCTACCCCAGATTCAATAAGTCGTTTTTGCACATCAAACAGCAGATGTCCATCTTTAGACAACATTTCTTTAATGCCTTTGACAGATGAAACTGAAATTGTGAACACAAATAATTTACAATGCACGAATTTAATAGAAACAAAAGATGTTAAAAGAACTTTTACTTATAAATTTGAGGAAGAAAACGAAGACACTGATATAATTGCTATCCAGAAAAATATCTCACAGAAAAGAACTAATAATGATGTAACTTTAAACACTAACAATAATAACATGATTACGATAGAAAATGGAATAAAAAATACTACCACAGAAGAAATGTTAGCTTTGCCGTTGAATAATAAGACACCAGAAAAAAGTTTTGAAATACAATTAATGATAGAAGAAAGAGGTTACATATCTGAATCTGTAAGTGAAGTTTCATTTAGTACTACTGACGAAGAAAATTTATCATTTGGAAAAAGCTCTTTATCATCGTCAGAAGATAGTGACGAATTGGAAGATGATGATGAATCGAGGATCGAAAGTGATTGGTTGCATTCACAAGAACAAGGCTTTGAAGAAGAACCATGGGTGGATATTACTGACGAAATACCAGATTTTGCAGAAAATACACTTAACTGTAAAATACTTTTACCTACAGACAATAAAACACCTATTGAAATATATGATTTATTTGTGACCGAAGAAATAATTAATAAAATGGTGAAAGAAACGAATGATTATGCAGAGAAGTACTTGGTTGATAACGCTCATACAATTAAACAAAAATCTCGTGTTAAAGCTTGGAAACCGACCAATTTCGAAGAAATGCGTCAATTTTTTGGAGTAATTTTAATAATGGGCTTAAACAAAGTCCCTCATTTAAATGACTATTGGTCGCGGAAGTCTATTTATAGAAATGATTACATCTGTTCATTGTTTTCAAGAGACCGATTTTTGTTGATTCTTAAATTTTGGCATTTCAGTGAATTGTCAGTAAAAGAAACCGATGATAAACTACATAAATTTCGTGAAATATATGAATCGTTAAATAGCCGTTTTCAATGTACCCTTGAACCAGGCAAATTAATAAGCTATGAAAATATATAAGCTATGTACTCCCGAGGGTTATACGTACAGAATGATTGTATATACAGGTAAAGAGGCTAACAAACGGGAGCAAGATCATGGCCTCAAAACAGTTACGAAATTAGTGGCTGGGCTGGAAGACGCAGGCCGAACAGTCGTTGCAGACAATTTCTACTCATCAATCAAACTTGCAGAACTGCTTTTAACACGTAAAACATTCTATTGTGGTACGTTAAGGTCTAATAGGAAAGGCGTGCCCAAAAAATTGTATGTACTAAAGTGAGAAAAGGTCAAGTATATGGCAAGATGTCAGAAAGCGGAGTACGTATTATAAAATGGTGTGATAAGCGAGAGGTACTAATGCTTACTACTTGCAAAGATCACAAAGCTGAACTAGTAAATACAGGAAAGCAGTCAAGATTAACCAATGAACCAATAAGAAAGCCTAAATGCGTATTAATGTACAACGAAAACAAAAAGGGCATTGATTACAGTGATCAGATGGCATCATATTACTCTGTCCTGAAGAGAGGTCTGAAGTGATATAGGAAGGTTGTAATGGAGTTTTTGTTCGGTACTTCAGTTGTAAATGCTTGGCTCATTTATAATATGTCAAACCCTAAGAAAATGTCCAAAAAAGATTTCACAGAATGCTTAATTGAGTCACTTACTGGTAAAAGTATTTCTGGCAATGGTACGTTACACAAATTTATATATGTATTTTAATTTACCTTACAGTAAATCAAGTTTTGTCGCCATATTTTTGTTAATTCAGCAATCAGAAGGTCGTGGGTTCGAGTCCCACTGCGACACAAATTTTTCTAGATTTTTCTATGTAAGTTGTAACGCAACCAAAATCTGGGTACGAATGAGATAAGTCGTCCTTAGATTGTTGAACTACTACCCATTACATATATTTTTATTAGGATATGAAATTGTAATGGTTTCAGGTTTGATTCATATCGGGAGACATGTAATTGATTTATTTTCAATTTTATGTTAAAACATTTTACTGGAGGAATCAAAGAGGTAGATAAATAGATTAATACTGTTATTTATCAATTGGCTGCTCTACTTACCACGCTATCATTTTATTTATAAGCACATGCACTAATCCTATTTTTTCGCATATTGCAAACCATAGCTATAAGCTTTTGTTTTTTTTCGTTTCATTTAGATCTTTCTACGTAAAATAATTTACATACCATGCAATGCACAAATTTTCTGCAATCAAACGGAAACTGCTGCTTATGAATTATGCCCGTTCTAAAACTACCTATGCTATATATTTTCTCTATTTTTGGAATCTAATTCATGATCTTTTTTAAAGCACTTTTTTTCAAAAATATTGCATGCGCAGTTTTTGATGTTTTGATCACTATTGGCTGTATTAGTTTTATTGTTGTGGGGGCGTTTATTTACTAGGTCAATGACTTGTTTTTATTTTAAAAGCTTAAAGCACGATTTTTGGCCTCTTAAAATTACTTCTGCACGTCCACGAGCGGTTACATTTAAGTACTTAGAATGAGAAATGTTTTCAATTTACAGTTAATAATGAACCAAACCATTCAGAGTCTCAGCACATCCTTGCAAAGGGTCAAATAAGGAAACGTTGCGTCATTTGCTATGCAAAATTACGACTTACATTAGGTGCCATGCAGGCTGCAAAGAAAGAAAAAAAAAATTATGACTAATTGTTCACAATGTAAGAAAGCTATGTGCTTGCATTGTTTTAACGAACAGCATGCAAAGTAATATAGAATAAATTAGATGAACGAATAGTTTGTATTTTATTTAACAACACCCCATACTTTTATGCACAATACTATAACAATATAAAAAAGTAATAGAAATATAACATAGACATCTACATTCATCGATATAAATTCATTCCCATCACTAATGCCGCCCCGATTTAGTGCGATGTGTGGTCTAAAACGACCTCAAATATATTTTAGGTGTTTTCTCTAAAACTAAAAATCAGAACCCGGGGCGAAGCTAGGTGTACATAAAACAATACCATGCAAGTAATTTTAGCATAAAATTAAACATCGAATCACGCTCCTGATCAAGTTACAACACATTTACCAAATGATTGAAATATGAGGCAGAAAAGGCCTCAACCGCATTACAAGGAAGTTTAGCTTGGGGCTGATTCGACCTCAGCCGCACCAGCTGAAAGTTCTTCAAAATGTGGCCCGCAGTGAACGTGTTAATGAGAACCTGAGAGATCAGTTTGTGTGTGGTATAAAAAGCGACAATTCGTCAAAGACTATTTGCGGAGAACGGTTTGCTAATGTATACGGACTCCGTAAAGGCCAACGCTACGTGTCCCGCCGTTGCAAGCGCACGGGACACCTTCGCCGGGCGTGCCCGTAGCACACTTGGCGCGATAATAGCGGCGGTTTTCCACTGCGGTACTTGGGCGAGGACTCCCACGAACGAGCAGCCCTACGAGGAGGAATTCCATCATCTATGTTTGAACATTGAGTTTGCCAATAGAAATCGATTAACAGATTTAAGAATTGGAGGTAGATACGGGCACTGCAGTTTCTTGTATTAATAGTGAAACCTATCGAAAATACTTCGGTTATATAGAATTAGGAAAGTGTAATTTAGTTCTAAATTTTTATGACGGGACGAAGATTAAACCACTGAGCATGATAAAACCAACTGTGAAATACGGAAACTATTCCAAACAATTAGAGTTACTGGTAATCGAAGGGGGAACTACCTCGTTAAATTGTCGTATGCGCAGCGCGAGCGCGTTGACGCTGAGCTCGACGCCATGCTGCGCGACGGCATCATCGAGTCAATGGAACACTTCGATTAGGCTTTGCCTCTTGTGCCAGTAAGCAAAGCTGACGGTTCATTAAGAATTTGTGCAGGTTATGAAAGTACTCTGGATCCGGTATTATTAATCGATAGATACCCGCTACCTAAAATCGAGGATGTAATTGTCAATTTAAATGGGGCGCAAAATAATTTTTCGAAGATCGAATTATTACAGGCTTATAATCAGGTTGAACTAGATGATTCAAAACAATTTACGATTATAAATACACACCGTGGTTTGTTTAGGTATAATAGGCTAGTTTTTGGACTGGCCTCCAGCTCGGCCCATTTCCAGTGGATTATGTGCAATTTATTGAAGGATATTCCGAACGTCGAGGTATTCCTTGATGACGTCATAAGTGTAGCAAAATCGGAGCGGGAACATTAACGTCTTTAGAGGCGGTGTTGAGTAGGCTGTCGAAATTTGGATTAAAGTTAAAAAGTAAAGTGTGTATTTTTAGTGAATCATCAACAGCCTATACTAGTCCACTGCTGGACATAGGCCTCTCCTTAGAAAGGAGGTTTTGGCCTACTATACCACGCTGGCCAGACGGGTTGGTATAGGGTTTGTTTCAAGTTTTCCTTCTCTTTGCAGTGCTGTTGTCCTGCTTAGTTTGCTACCTTAGTCGGCTCTTACGACACCCACGGGATGAATTGGGGTGGTGACAATTTGTATTCTTAATCCGTCACCACACGGACAAGTTAGTGAATGAGGTGCGATATTTAGGGTATATTTTCAGTAAAGAGGGAGTAAAAGCGGATCCTTCAAAAATCGAGGCAATAATAGGTATTCCAACACCGACAAATACCACGGAATTAAGATCTTTGCTAGGTCTAATTAACTTTTATGCCAAGTTGAGCAATAGCAATAGATTAGCACCTTTGTATGAGTTACTTTAGAAGGGTAAAATGTGGGATTGGTCGCTGGCATGTGAAAAATCGTTCAAACAAATTAAAAAATTATTATCTAGTGCGGAAGTGTTGGCTCCGTACGATCCTAAGAAACCGGTTATTGCAAGGTGCTGTTACGCGAGTCTCGACGAAGGGAGTTTAAAAAAAGGGGATTTGGTAATGTGACACTGGATTTAATAGAGATTATATCGACACAGATCGACACATCGTGGTCGCTCAGTTGGTCATCTTCTCGCCTTTCTAACACACGCGGCAGAGGCGATCGAGACCAAAGGAGAGGCTTGTGCGGTTAGTTTGGACATAGCAAAGGCCTTTGGTCGGGTCTGTCATAAGGCGCTTCTCTCGAAGCTCCCTTCCTTTGGCCTTCCCGAGAAATTGTGTAATTGGGTCAGGTACTTCGGGGTATCAGGATTTTCCTTCCTAGGGTACACTTGGTTCCCAGACAACTGGTACCCGAGACGGCGTGTGGTTTTTGGTCGGTACGAGTCCGACATAACCGCCGGTGGGTGGTATCCCAGGGGATTTCTGCACAGGAGAAAAAAAAGGGGTGGTCGCGCGTATGCGGCAGTGGCGTCGGCATTCGCATCTGTGGCCACACCGAAAGCAGGACAGCCAAGGCAGCGGCAAAGAAGGCCACACCGAAGGCTGGGCTTAAAACCGCGGCAAAGAAGGCCACACCGAAGGCTGGGCTTAAAACCGCGGCAAAGACAGGAGCGGAATTCCCTTCGTTCCCCACTCCCACGCCTGTATCTGGCCCAGCAACATCGGTCCCCCCTACGTCTGTCCCCTCAAACAATGGGTGACAGGTAGTCGGGGGGACTAAGAAGTCTCGAAGACGGGGTAAGAAAGCTGCCCAATAAGCAGCCTCTATCCCGCAGTCACCGTCGGTGGCAGTGGCCACCAAGTGGCAGCCGCGCAAGCTATAGGCGCCTAAAACTGCGGCTGTGGTGGTTACCGTGTCACCGGAGGCGGTTAACGGCTGGCTGTCAGGCCCAGATGAAGTATCTGGGCCTGATTCTTGACGGGAGGTGACTCTTCGACGAGGCCTTCCGACAGCTTGCTCCAAAGCTGGTCGGCGCTGCTTCTGCCCTAGGGTGACTTTTGCCAATTTGGGTGGAGCCAGCGTCGCGACAAGACGGCTGCACACGGAGGTTGTTCAGTCAATGGCACTGTACGGTGCACCAGACCGCCCAGAATATGGCACGCCTCTTTCAAAGCATATTGGCGGTTAGAGCCAGTTACCGCACCGTATCGACAGAAGCGGCGTGCGCCTTGGCCGGAACACCCCCGTGGGATTTGGAGGCGGAAGTGCTCGCCGAAGGATATAGGCGGACAGCTGAGTTCCGGGCGGATAACGGCTTTTGGCCCCCGCCCAAAGAGATACGCAAGAGCGCGAAGTCCCTCGCCGAGCAACAAAGTCGTCGAGTCCGTCCGAGAGAGGCCGTCGACCTCAAATGCGGGGCATGGCCGCATCGAAAATCTGCGTAATTGCGACACGATAACGACCAGCCTCCATGTTGACCTCCTCGGTCGATACCTGTGGAGACAGCCAAGAGTGAATGATGGCTGCCTCCTCTAGTAGGTCCTTGTTCAGATTAGCAACAGCCCACCACGGAAAGGACGCCGCACGTGACCCCTAGGGGGGTACTGGGTCCGGGAGAGCTCAAATCGGATATAAAGATGATCCCAGAGCGTCTTAAACTCTTCCAGGACACGCCAGTACCTTACTCGTGCGACGAGGGCAGGGGTAGCGAACGAAAGGTCCACTATCGACCCCCCTGCTGTCGCACGCACGTATTGGTGGAGCCTCTATTGACCCACCGAAGCAGCCCACTCCTCTACTGCCTCGCCCCTTGCATCCGTAAGGGGAGAACCCCAAGCAATTGATTTTGCATTGAAGTCTCCCAGCACCTCCTAGTTGCCGCATCGAGGTCTCCAAGCTTTTGAGGAAAATATCGAAGTCGCTCAGACTTCGATTGGGCGAGAAGTATACACCGTATATGATGATTCCCCCCTACACAGCAGCAACATATCCAGAGCCCTTGTCTTTTAGCGACAAGGGCGGGAAATGAGCCGCCGTGGAACTGACGACTGCCACTGAGTCATCTCGGTCACCCAACCAGTTTTAGCGGGGAGGAACGTAATAGGGCTCCGAGGCTACGGCAACACCAATCCACCACCACCACTCTGCCATGGTTTGCAGGACGAGATCCTGCGCACCGGCACAGTGATTTAGGAGGACACTTGGTTTGGTTGTGAGTTGCTGAGGACCGCAAGGACAAGGTGAGGCGTCACATCCGCTGACCTTAACCTGGATGGGCCCCCAAGATGCTTTTACCTGAACGAGAGGCTGACTCATACAAACAAGCAGCTTTTCTTTCGTGCTCGATAAACTGCTACTCACCTTGGGTGGAAGTTTGCGTGGACCAAGCACGGTAGAATATATTTCAAGGAATCTGATGGAAGGCGTCCTTATACCATCCGCACGGAGCCGGACATCAAACGTGTATTTGTCGGCGCACGCCATTAATCGACAAACGCACGTGCAGCGCTGAGTAATTTCGACGACACAAACACATGACGCATTCCAACTACCACCGGTCGGACGATAAAAAGGCATGCTTTTCCCTCCTAAGCTGAGAAGCGAGCGAGTCGCCGTAGTAGACGGAACGCTCCTGCGTAATAAACGCTACGAGTTATTATTTTTGGTTTTATTGGTTTATTGAGATCACCCCCTTATCATGTCGCTACCCGATAAAGGAAATAATCCAACATCAGAAGATGGGACACCACGTGATGAGCAACGGCCTAATGACGTAATCCAGGCTATGGCAAACACATTTAAGACCACAATGAATGATATGATGGCTCAACTATCTTACGATCATCGTACAACTTTGACTGAAATGATCAGTATCATGAAATCAGAGGAAAACGTCGAGGAAAACGTAAACGTCAGAAATACGCACTCGCGTGCGTATTTCTGACGTTTATTTTCCTGCGTATGACCCTGACTCTAGTACCGATGTACGTGATTGGGTAGATCTTATTACACGTACTCAAGCTGAATATGGACTTCGAGATCATGAGGTGCGATTAAAAGCAGCAAGTGTACTAAAAGGATGTGAAAAAACATGGGCGGATAGTAGTCTTCTAAGGACAACAACTTGGACAGAAATGCGTGACGACATGTTACAAACTTTCGAACCTGAATCTAGATGCTTTGCAGATATTCTGCGTTATAAAAATTACACCATTGATGATGCAGAAAATATTCAAGATTTTATTTCAAACGTGTGGCGTATGTTCAAAAGGATAGTAAAACCTAATCCAACGGAACAGGATGCAGTAGAATTTGTTATTGGGAGTATTGGAGATGAACGGATTCGTACAGAACTACTCAATAGCAAGTCGAATACTGTTCCAGAGTTAATTGCTATAGCCAAAACGTTTCGTAAACGAAATAATGCACCTAATAAACCGAATGAGTTCAATAAACGACCTCGCTTGGACTTCAATCGTGATAGACCCAACGTAACTTGTTATGTTTGTGGGCAAACAGGTCCTTTTGCTCGACATTGCTCAGAAAATGCAATTCACTCAGCATCAGGATCAGTTGCTTCTTCTTCATCCAAAGATTTACCTACACCACTTATTAAGGAATGTTTTACTACTGCAAAGGAACTCGTCACACTGCAGATACTTGTTTTAAAAGAATTGCTGACGAGCAACGCAGTAAAAAAGTGAATCTTTGCCAGAATAATGAGGCTAATTCACATAATACAATAACGATACAGATTGGACGAAATACATTGGAATGCATATTCGACAGCGGCGCAGATTGTTCTTTAATACAAGAGTCTGTAGCAATGCGCATTCCAGGACAAAGAAAGAATATATCAAAATGTTTGAAAGGAATTAGTCCAGTCCCGGTTTACTCTAACACACAAATAATAACAGAGTACAAGATAAATGATATTTTAATTGCGCTTGAGTTTTGTGTTGTACTAGCTAGCTTTGTATCACCAATTACCTGCAAAAGTTTTGATTGGTAACGATCTCCTGAAGATTCCAGGAATAAAAGTTGAGTCATCGACGAAAGGCACAGTTGTCAGTCGTAACGAAGAACAGTCCTTCTGTTTTCAGTTCGTTGAAGTATCGGAGGTTAATAACAATACTGATTTAAACGAAGAAAAGCACAGTGCCTTGATGCGAATACTGAAGAAATACCAGCACGCTTTTGTAGAAGGGATTTCGACAAACAGATTGACCACTGGAGAGTTGAATATCAGACTAAAAAACCCAAATAAAGTTGTGGAACGACGACCCTACAGAATGACACTAGTAGAAAAAGAAAAAGTCAAGGCAATTATCAAATATCTTTTGAATAACGGAATTTTTCGAGAAAGTAACTCCCCGTTTGCAAGCCCTATTATTCTCGTAAAAAGAAAAATGGGCAAGATCGTTTATGCGTTGATTATCGAGAATTGAATGCAAATACTGTTCGAGATCATTATCCGTTACCTCTTATTTCCGACCAGCTGGATCAGTTTGGTGACGCAAAATATTTCTGCTGTCTTGATATGGCGGCTGGCTTTTATCAGATCCTTGTGGCTGAAGGCTCAATTGAGAAGACTGCCTTTATAACCCCCGACGGGCAATATGAATACTTGACTATGCCTTTTGGACTAACTAATGCCCCGTCCGTATACCAGAGATGTAATAATAAAGCACTAGGATCACAAATAGGAGAAGCAGCTGTGGTTTCCATGGATGACGTTTTTGTGCCTGGAAGATCGCTAGACGAGACTTTACAAAGATTGGACTTGGTACTTCGGGCCCTTAGTAACTCAGGATTTGCAATAAACTTAAAGAAATGCTCGTTTATGAAAAGATCTATACAATATTTGGGATACATCATAACCGACGGACAAGTAAGGCCTGATCCCGTTAAAGTAGGAGCCCTAGCAAGATCTCCTGTTCTCGAAAATATCAAGCAACTTAGACAATTTAATGGGCTCGCGGGGTATTTTCGGAGGTTTGTACCCAATTTCTCTACAGAAATGGCACCATTGTACGAATTGACAAAAGCAGGGACGAACTGGGTATGGACTGACTGTCACGAAGCAGCAAGAATAAAAATAATTAATTATCTTACCTGTACGCCGCTTCTTACAATCTTCAAAGAGGGTGTACCAATCGAACTCCATACAGAAGCATCTCAGGAGGACGACAACATGTCATCGGAGACTTTAGCCAAAGAACAACTAAAGCCGAGTCCAATTATCACTCATATGAATTGGAAACTTTGACTGTAGTAAGATCGGTAAAACATTTTCGTCACTTTTTATACGGAAGAAAGTTCACTGTTGTCACAGACTGCAATGCATTGAAAGCCTCTCGATACAAACAAGAACTACTGCCGCGTGTGCATCGCTGGTGGTCTTTTCTACAAAATTTTGATTTTGAAGTCGTGTATCGTAAAGGAGAAAGACTATAACACTCTATCTCTGTAATCTCTGGAATGGATATCTCTGGAAAATTGAGTGGACCGTCATCTGAAAAAGAATACGTCTTTGTAGCGGTTGATGCTTTTTCTAAATTTGTGTTTTTGAAGTATGCCACTAAGAAAAATCAAGAATCGGCCCTGCAACATCTAAAAGAAATTATATTTCTTTTTGGAGCTCCCAAAAGGATCATCGTTGATGGCAATGGTGCATTCGTGTCTCAATATGAACAATATTGTAAACAGCACGGCATTGAACTTCACCACACCGCAGCATATACCAGTAGAGCAAACGGCCAAGCAGAAAGAGTTATGCGTGTCATCAAGGATGGACTCACTGTCATTAGTAATATTAGAAGGATCACTGAGAAAATGCCTTAGGAGCCTTACAACTTGCTATTAATTGTATAGTATCCAAAGCAACGGGAAAAACACCTATTGAATTACTTACAGGAAAAAACGGAAGTGTACCTTTCCCACTCAATACGCGATAGCCCATCATTAAGTGTTTTTAAGAGGCGAATCAGAGAATTTTTCCTTTCTCAGCAGTAACAGACTAATATAATTATGTATGCATGTAGGTATTAGATAGTTAATGTTATATATGGTTATCGATGTGTGAACTTGTGTTATATTATGGTTTATTTACATGATATTCGGTTATTTCGTTTATATTTCTATTTCTCTATATTTTCTTAAATTTACTCTGTACACACGACTCCCTCTTGTTGTGCTATCCTCTCTTCACTCTTGGGTTTGCTGGAAGAGAACTCAATTATGGGTTAAGCTCGCCTCTGTGCCCACTATTCCTTAATGTATTTTTTATACAAATGTTTATATTGTGTACGTAAGAATAAATAAATAAATAAATAAACTCATTTCAGTTATCGACGAAGAGAATGAGAGAGTTGATCCTAAATCTTTACGTAGAGTAGTTTCTGAAAGGATGACCGAACGAGCAGAGAAATCTAAAGCTAAATTTGAAAGCACTAAAGAAAAGGTGAAGAGATTTGAAAAAGGTCAATACGTTTTGGTAAAAGAACCGGTCCGGTTAGGGACCAAACTAACTCGAAAATTCGGGGGTCCTTACGAGATAAAAAAAGTTCTTCCAAACGATCGTTACGAGGTCAAGAAAATTACAGGACGTGGACGGCCAAGAAAAGTAGCCCATGAAAATCTACGAGCAGCTCCAGACTATGGAAAACAAAATGAGATTGCCATGTCGGCGTATGAGGTTTCATTAGATAAGTGAGGTATAACTTTTGGGACGAGGTTTGTTTTTATGTTTTATTTCGTTAGTAAGTTATTAGTTTTGAGACTTAACTTTGACCACCAGCGTTGAGGCTTGGTTGTTCCAATATTATTAATGGCGTCGAGGCCTAACTTTGAGCACCAACGTCGAGGCTTGGTTGTTTCAATATTAATGGCGTCGAGGCCTTACTTGTAACACCAGCATCGAGGCTTGGTTGTTCCAATATTATTAATATTATCGAAGTCTAACTTGAGCACCATCATCGAGACTATCGGGGAATTTATTATTTTTATTTTAAGGGACTAATGCCGCAGAGAGGCGTCAATTGCAGAATGGCCGTGTCGGCGCACGCCATTAATCGACAAACGCACGTGCAGCGCTGAGTAATTTCGACGACACAAACTACACGTGACATATCCCCACTACCACTGGTCGGACGATAAAAAGGCATGCTTTACCCTCCTAAGCTGAGAAGCGAGCGAGTCGCCGTGGTAGACGGAACGCTCCTGCGTAATAAACGCTACGAGTTATTATTTTTGGTTTTATTGGTTTGGAAAGACTACGTCGTAAAGTGTTCAATAATGTGAGAAAGTTGTTCAATAAAGCAAAAAACTCTCGATTAGACCAACATTGGGATGCCTACACGCAGGCCCGACAACAATATAAGAAGAGAATCAGAACCAGGAAAACTGAGTGCTGGAGAAACTTCTGTACTAACATAGAGAACAACAACCAGGCTAATAGAGTCAAAAGCATACTGTGTAGTAGAGGCGAACACAATCTTGGCTCACTGAAGAAGCCAGATGGTGAGTATACCAAAATAGACTCGGAAGCCTCAGAGCTGTTATTAAAAACACACTTCCGTGGATGTCGCATATCAGATGTGATGGAAAAATGGGAAGGCAGATGGGAAAACCACCAGAAGATACAGATTGGGATAAGGTCCGCAAAGTTGTCAACCATGACAAACTAAGATGGACAATTAACAGCTTCCTACCATTCAAGGTGCCAGGACTAGATGGTGTCTTCCCAGGCCTACTGAGATGGTGTGATATGACACTACTAGACCATCTTGTAAAAAATTATAGGGGCTGCCTGACGCATCAGTACATCCCCTTGAAATGGAGAGAAGTTAAAGTAGTCCTTATCCTCAAACCTGGTAAAGGTGACTACACACAACCCAAATCACACCGACCGAACGATGCCGCAGATGAGTTGGCAAGGAGGGGCTCGGCAACCCCGACCTCTGGCCCAACCACACTTCTGCCCATATCGTTTAACCAAATACGATGCTGGGTCAGGCAACGGACCTGTGAAGCATACAACCGGAGGTGGAAAAACTCATCCGGCTGCAGACAGTCCAAACTGGTGCTGAATCAAGTCACACCACGACTCACCTGCAGATTGATCAGTCTTAGCACACCGGAAATCAGAATTGTTGTCGGAACTATTACAGGATATCTAGCCCTGAACCGACAACTATTCATCATCAATGCGACGAACAGTCCCCTGTGCAGGGGATGTCTGGAAGCTGAAGAAACGGCCGTCCACGTAATCCTGGAATGCGAGGGAGTGGCCACACAACGGGCAAGTATCATTGCCGATATAAAGTCGCTCCTAGAAGCCTGTGAACGCCCCAGGAGGCTTCTGCGCTTCTGGAAGGAGCTTGGCTGGCTCACCTAATCAACCAATCCTCGACGCATATATGACCACTCTGAGTCTAAATGCGGACACCGAAGCCCACAACCAATACCAATACCACCCGCTTAACATGCCGCTACCCGATAAAGGAAATAATCCAACATATTTAGTTGCGAGACCGTCAAGACAGGAAAAGTATATTATGGAAACATCTATGCACAAAATGTTATTTTCTGTAGAATTAACCTAAAACATTATTTATTTATTTATACATCATGCCGTTTTTGGTGCATTGGCGGACTTAATGCCTAAGGCATTCTCTACCAGTCAACATTTGGGTGATGCAGAGAGAACAGGAAGTAGGTGCATTTTGGTAAAAGTTTGATAGTAGTTATAATATCAAATACGCGAACATAAACCTATCATACACTAGAACACATACACATAATACATACGTATATACGTAGACTTAAATACATATAAACTTATATAAATACATACATACCTAAATAAATACCATTAATAACAGTAGATGACAATCATACGTCAGTTGATTCTGCCAGTTGTTTTGCAAAATACTGCTTCACTTTAGTTTTGAATGAGAAAGTGTTGGTCGCCATCCTGACCTCGAGAGGAAGGTCATTCCAGAGAAGAATGGACTGCAGAATAAAGGATGAGCCAACAAACTCAGTCGTGTGGGGGGGACAACGATGAAGAAGGTTGTTAGAACCGAAGGTTTCTGTCGTGTTTACTACATAAAAGTTGGAAGTTTAAATATGTTGGCGAATATGAGTTGTTTAAGATAGAGTATAAGACAGTGAGAGCTCCTAGTTTTCGGCGTAGACGAATTGGTAGGCAATTGAGCTGCGAACGGAAAGCGGATACATGATCAAATTTACGGAGATTGTGAACAAATCGAATGCAGTTATTAAGAAGACGGTCTAATTAATCGAGAAGATCTGCATTCAGGTCATAACAGCACACGTCACCATAGTCGATTAAGGGGAAGATAAGGGATTGCACAAGCATGGTCTTGGTTTTTGTGGGTAGGAAATTTCTCAGACCATACAGAGCCCGAAGTGTTCCAGTAACCCTCTGGCACTTATTTGCAACTTGCTCACGCCAGTTTAGTGTGCAATCGAGGTGTAGGTGGTCTTCCACCGATTGACAAACGGGTATGGTAGTACCGTTAAAAATGATAGCCGGAAGAGTCTCGATGTCTACTCTGCTCATCAATCGATGACATCCAACTACAATAGCTTGACATTTTTCGGGGTTTACGGTTAAACCAAACCTTTTAGACCACGCATTGATTGTTTCCAGGTCTCTGTTGACCATGTCTATGGCTATCGGAATATCTTTAACCTTGTTCTGCGAATAGAGTTGAAGGTCATCAGCATACAGATGATAAGCACAATGAAGTTCTATTGTAAGGGAACCCCTGGTCTAACCCATCTTTTTTATTTTGGATAAAAGTTGTGCCAGTACGATCGCCTGTTAGGGTAGCGGTCCTCTCCTCCTCGCTTCGGTTGCCTCAATGCTGAGGGTCGTGACCGCCTCCTCGCAGTAAGAGTTTGCTGTGGATCACTCGACGCCACCCGTCCCTATTCGCCGCCGAGTGTAGAGCATCGTGGACCGTGGTATCGAGAGTAGTGCGGATCTCGGCCAGTCCAACGTGTCGGGTTTCTACCTCGTGTTCTTTTTCCATTCACTTTGCCCGTGACCAATAACTTTTCCAAATTGCTGTCATCCTTTCTGGCAATGTAGCCGAAGTATTGGAGAACTCTACGCAGGCAGATGGTAGGAAGCCTTGTCTGTATCTTGAGTTCTTGTAGGATTTACACGTGGGTGCGATGTGCTGTCCAGGGAATACCTAGCATCTTTCGCCAGCACCACACTTCGAATGCATCAATACGGTCATTGATATTGAGTATTTGCTCACGGGTGCCTTTTCCCTTTACAAAGCCAGCCTGTTCTTGCGGGATCTGCCAGTCAAGGTAGTAGCGGATCCGGTTATTAATGATATACTCGTATAGCAAGACCTTGCTTGCATGAGAACTTAGAGCGATCGTGCGATAATTATCGTATTTTTTGGTCGAACTCTTTTTGTGTAGTGGAAGGATGATCGACTGAGTCCAAGCCTTGGGCCACTCGCCATTTTGCCATATGTGGTTACAGATGTTGTGCAATATGTCAATCCCCTTTTTACCCATGGCTTTAAGCATTTCAGCAGTGATTTGATCTAGACCTGGTGCTTTCTTAGCCTTTAGTGATACGATAGCTGCGACTATCTCTGATCGCAAGATGTTGGGTTCCAGATCCAGACTGGACCAGTCCACGTGAGTATAGTCCGTTGTGTTAGGCATTTTGTATAGTTGTTCACAATAGCCTCGCCATCTCTCTGCAATCGTATCGAGCTCGTGTAGCGATTTTCCGTCTGCGTCTTCGATGACCCATGATTTGGGCTTAAATTGTTTACTTTCTTAAATAGATCCGAAGTCTGTTGTTTCATAGCGTGACCCTCCACTTCGCGACAAATGTTACTAATAAAGTTATTCTTATCAAGGCGGCATTTATTCTTGATAATTCGGCACATGTATGAATATTCCTTTAGTACGTCGGGGTTCTGCAGCCCTCTCGCTTTGACTTCTTTTCTTCATTGAATATGTTCCCACGTGTGGTCTGTTATCCAAACTGACTTCCTGTGGTCTCTCTCTCGTTTCGAAACAATTACACTTAGAGATTCATTGATTTTGCTTTCCAAACTTTTCCAAAGGGTATTGGCATCAGTCGCTGGCAGTTTTGAGTCCTCAGCGAGTTTGTTTTCAATCATACTTTGGAAGTGCAGCCGTTCAATGGGATTTAAAACTCTGGGTTTTTGTCGTGAGTGTTTATGTATCGCTTTCAGGCGTAGGGAAAGACAGAAAACTAGCAATACGTGGTCGGAACCACAATCGGCACCGGGAAAAGTCTTCACGTTTATTATGGACGATTTCCAGCGGGTGTTAATCATTATATAATTAATTTGATTTCTATATCGGTCGCCTGGAGATCTCCATGTGTAGAGGCGTCTATAGTGGTGCTGAAAGTAAGTATTCATAATACTTAGCTTCCTACCAACACAAATCTCAATGAGATTTTGACCGCGCTCGTTTTTAGTGCCCAGACCATATTTACCGATAGTATCTTTGATGGTATAGTCTGGTATTACATTGCCAACCTTTGCATTCCAGTCGCCGAGTATGATTGTGATCTGACGGCTTGGTATGGCATCAAGTGTTTTCTCGAGGCTCCCATATAATTCGTTGATATCCTCATCTGAAGCTTGTGCTGTAGGGGCGTAGATTTGCACAATGTTC